ACCAATACACCAATTAGTCAAAGAATTTATGTCCACCTGCAAAGTGAAACAGTCTGCTTCATTTTGGATTTCACGATATATTTTCATGTCATCTGCAAAGAGAAATTTATGAGCAATGTCATTTAAAAATAGTATGAATAATAACGGTCCTAGATTAGACCCTTGTGGGACACCCGAACAGCAGGAGGATTTTATACCATCACATTCAAATGGTTCCTTGAACAGTTGTTTTATAACTATTTCAGCACAGTTTTTCACTTAAACTCATCTGTTCGAGCGTTAGTGGCATGATGAGGATAATTTTCGAATAGATTCTGAGTTGAAAACACTGTAAACAACAAAGATTGAGACCGTTTCACTTAAACACGTCCTTCTCACACGAAACCTACTGTACTATTGTACTCACTTACTTACTTACCTACTTCTCCGTCTATGGGTTTTATGGCCCCAAAGGAATGACCGGGAAGCAAAGTTCCATCTTCGAGCACTAAAAAACGAGGAAATTGTCAATGCCGTCGTCCATTTTAGCAAAAAGTGTAGAAAGGTTCATAGAGGCACGAGAAAAGCGATAACTGTGTTAACGTCGCCTGGCTTCGCAGTCACTACTCTTGTTGAATGGTGATTGCACGATTCAAACGATTGCTTGCTTTGATATTGTGTCGTAAATGATACCGGATAATCTCGTGTACAGTAAGTTAGGTAAGGATTTCTGAAGACCAGTTGGGGATTGAGAAGTTGACTATATAAACGAGAACTTTGATATTCTGAAATGGAAAGGTTTGGTACCTGACTGATAAGGTTCTTCGGCCCATTGTTTGTGTTCATTCATATTAGTATCTATTTTACCAAATAAAGATTATATTCTCTGTATTTTCGGACCTTGAAAAGAGGTGTAGCAGAAACAAATACCGCATTGCTGATTACAAAATACTAGGTATGTATTTTTTAATAACGAATACCGCAAACATATTTCATGATAACAAGCATTTCGCATTGTTTTTGGAACTTTGGAAAGATTTTCAAGGAACTGGGTATGAAGGTGGTTTTTAAAACAAGTCATACACTACATACAGAGCCTTTTAGGGAGTCCAAAAGACGAAGTCGAGAATTCGGAAAAGTTTGGAATTTACGAAATTAAATGTAAGGACTGCGATGCAAAATATTATGGACAGACCAAAATATCTATTGAAGTAAGATATAAGAAACACTTGCACACTTAAAATATGGAAGACGTGAAAAATCAGTAGCCGCCAATCATATTTTGCAACAAAACCATTCCATAGACTTTAGTTCATCAAAATTAGACAAGTTAACAACAATAGGCAACTAGATGCAAATCAGAGTGTAGAAATAAGTAAACGTAATAATATTATGAATAATATTATGCAATACCAAATAGCATACTATATATAGCTTCTAAAATAATATTATTGGATTTACTGTAATATTATTGTAAAATTAACAGATAAGGCAAATTGTAAAATTAATTTAAGACACCAAAGGTGTGGTATATCTGTAGGGTATACATGTATGATACACCTGTATAGATGAATAGGGTTAGCCTTGCAAGTATTTCCAGTTCAATCTTCCTCTTGAAGATGATCACTTGGTGATCGAAACACGTGTCGAGATGTTGAAAATAATGAAAAATAGTGGATCGTGAATCACAGAAAAAAATTTTTTCACTAATCTTAGAGTGCTTGTTCAGGAGGCCTGGCTCAAGTAATTATTCATTATCACTACTTATATGAGGTTGAAACGAAAATTAGTGGAAAGCAATTTCTTATCGAAAATAATGAAAAATAGTGGATCGTGAATTATAGAAAATAATATTCTTCTAATTTATTTTTTTCACAAAAAAATTGAGTTTTTTGTTCAATGATGCAGAAATTGAAAGCCAGAAAACGTTTTCAATTCCATAAATGGAATTTGGAAATTCAAAGACTTATATGAAAGGATTTAAATCTACATGTTAATCAAACCACTTCAGAAAGTTTTAAGGTTATTAACACTCCTGCTTGTGGGTCGAAGTGAAGAAGACCAGGAAAAAATTACCAATTCAAATGAGAAATCGATAGTTCTTGCTTTTTTCTAAAATGTGTTCACTATGAAGTTCCTTATAATGACTCTTTTAAGTTTTCTTTTGGCCACTTTGTATAACTAGATACTGTACAACACGTACCACAAAGTGTTATTGGTGTTTCACTGTTGAATTAAATTATAATACAGAATCAACCGCAGAAATGTCAGTATTTTTTTATGAAATTAACGGAAACTGATATATAGATGAGCACTAGCGAGAGTGATATGAGAAGATTAAAAAATGTACGTGGAAACTTTACCTCTGATTTCGAACTGCTCGAGCTCCTCCGGGTAAAGCCGTCCAGTTTCTCTGTGGCAATTTTGCCTTGGGTATGTTCAGGATTCATGAATTGAAAAGAGGGTTCAGACTTATTCCTGCATGAGTGGAGCTTATATTAAAGTAGTTTATTTTCTTACTCTTCTATAATAATATCGAAAGACTCACTAGCACATCTTGAAAGTCACGTATTCCATAGCCAGTATGGGAAACAAGAATAGTTATCCACACTCCAGACAGACACTCGACCTCTTTCAGAATTCTCGTCGATAGACAACGAACAGCAACCGCTTGCAGGGAAAGTTTGATTGGACTCATGTTGTGTTTCAACAGCGCCAGCTTCAGAATATATTGTCCAAGAAAATGGCATTTTGGAACTCCTGCAATATCATTATTCTTGTCAAGTGATTTTGGGTGGTCCAGAACGAAATCTGATGTTTGCATTATTGTGAACGCTTTGTTCAAAATGGGTCCACCATTATGAGTGGATACGAGATTTTCAACTTTGAGATCGATATAGCCAAAGTGTTTATTGGTAATCCACAAGGTTGATAGGGCCACCAATTGAAGCAGAGTATATCTCATTTCGTTGTTCTCCTGCATATATCTGTCCGTAAATGTTATTGCAAGATGCAAAGTTTTGTCTTTGACTACTTTGAAGCTATTATAGAAACCGATTAGCCAACGCAGAACAATCTCACGCGTCGTAGGATTTGTCTTGTGCTCTTGGATAAAGTTCTCCACAATCAAAAACTTCTCCTCGAGTCTCCTAAAATTTCGCAGAGCAACATCCATAGGGCAGTCTGTTTCCTTTTTAAATATGTTTGGAGTGGTTTTCAGAATCCATCCGTCCCATTGAGTACTCCTCTTCTTCCATTGCTCTTTCTAGTGCGTTTTCTAAACTGAGGCAATCAATATTTTCATCTTCTTCCTTAACTTTTTGAGCTTTGGGCATTTTTCATTCGTTTTTGTTGCTTTGATTGAAGCAGTTCTTCCCCTCCTCAACTTCTTCTGACGATCGGAACATTTCTCTTCACTTTTTATTTTGTATTTCTTCTTTTTTTTATGTAGATTTTATTGGAGTAGATTTGAAATTTTCTTCATTGTTTTGGTAATTTTGACACTGTGGAGGAGTTGAATTTTCATTTGCATCATGGATTTGAAGTTCTTGAATTAGATTCTAAAGTCCTGCATGTCTGAGAAGCTCCATTATCGTCTGGAACTGTAGGGGTCCTGTTCGATAGAAACTCATTTGAACCATTTTCTTTTGTCTCTTTCTTCTGGACTTCGTGGTTCCTAACTGTACCATCATGTCTGTAGGATGCCTGAAGTTCAGTAGTTCAGTGTCTATTCTATATTCAAATGTGATTTCAACGCAGCCTTCTTGTGGAATTCCTCAACATTTTTCAGCTCCAGCTGGAAAAAATTATCTGAGAAGTTATTCTAGATAAAATTTATATTTTCAATCAAATTGCACAAATATTTTATGAAATGAAACATTCTCAGCTTGATAATATTCGTAGAGATAGACAAAAGAACCTACGGGGTATTTTGGAAATATTAGGGAGATATGGCCATGAAATTTCATTATTTTGGGATGTGTAGTACAAGTCAAAACTTTTACTTCACGGGAAATGATTCGAGTGTCAGATTCATATTTCAAATAACAATTATTTACAGGTCATTTTTTTATCATATGGTGACATTGCTATATTCTAAACCGTAACACATACGAAGACGATTAAATGGGAAATTAGGTAACTGTCATCAGGAACAACACAATGGCAGAAGAAATTTTACGCGTTATTTCGGGAAAAACCAAAAATGCTGTTTTTTTCGAATGGAATTGTTATTACAGAGAATATCAAAAAATGAAAAAAAAAATTATACTAATACATGCATCTCTTATTTTTTGTTTGAGATGGTCGATATCTGTACTTGGTGTTGAAAACCTTTATCCTTTATATATCTCCAGACGAAAAAAATTAGAGAAGTAAGATCTGGGGATCGAGCTGGCCAGTTAATTGGTTCATTGTTTTCAATCCATTTTCTTGGAAATATTGCATCTAAATGTTCCCTTACTATTACTGTATTATGGGGAGGAGCACCGTCCCGTTGAAAATATTGTATTTAATGGCAGATATTCAGTGACAACTCATCTAAGTGGTCATCGAATTCATTGAATAGAAAATGAAGATAAATTTCACTATCCTAATGATCATCGTAAAAGAAAGGGCCAAGGATGTTTGTTCCCACAATTCCCAACCAAATATTTATTCCGAACCTTTCTTGACCATATTTTAAAACAAAGTTGGTGTTGGTCATGTTGACACGAAACGTTTTATCGAATATTTATTATTACATCATCATCGTTATATTCTCCGAAATAACAATTCCATTCGAAAAAAAACGAAAAACAGCATTTTTGGTTTTTTCGGTATAACTCGAGAAGGGCGAGTCTCCATAAATTTTATTCGACCATTGTATTGTTCCCGATGACAGTTACTTTTTTTCCATTTAATCGTTTTCGTATTGGTTAGAATATAGCAATGTTACCACATGATGAAAGAAACGACCTGTATATATGAAATTATGTGCGTTTAATACTCATTCGAAATATAATGATTGTTGATATTAGTGGAAAGGAATAATTACCCGCATAAATCCACTTTCGAAAACGAGCCTCCAAATTAAGAAGTGAATACGGATTATCTATACAAAAGTGTAGCTGGGCAATTAATATTAACAATAAATGTTTTGTCAAAAAATTAAGTTGAATGTTCGACCAAGAACATATCAAAATTAACATATACCTAATCGATTTGTTTTGTCGAAATTTACAGAACACACTACTGAAAGCACTATAAGAAATGTCAAAAATTCTTAAAATTGTAATTCTTAGAGATGAGTTCGTTGACACTGAACAAAAATATACTTACAGAGAGCATGTGAGTGTCACAGTAACGAAAGCTATTTTGTTTACGAAGATACAATTTAAATAAATCATATACCGAATTCCACACATCTGAAAATAAGACCTGATGTTTTCAAACAATTTTTTTCAGCCAATAAATACAAAAATACGACTTAGAAAGCACGACTCTAAGCCCCCCATATCGTGTTTAGTGCTTTGATTATTTTGTGTTATTCTATTTTCTATGATGAAAAACTCAATTTTCACTAAGATTTTTATTTGTTATGACCGATTACGGTTTGTTAAACCTTATCAAGTGAACTGACGCATTTTGACAAACAAAATCCTTAAATAAACAACGAACAGTCAATGTCCTTTTGGTACCTGTAAAAGGTACCTGAAATAACAAAAATATTACCTGGATTATCAATGCCCCATCTGATCTACCAAAACAATAATTGTTCAAATTCTATAACATATC